GTTCTCAAGGCGGATATCGACACTGCGGCAGGGATTCTTCATGGAATTATTGGCAAGATATGGGACAGCGAAGAATTTCCACAGGATTGGAGAGAGGGATTACTTGTGAAACTACCCAAGAAAGGAGACCTGTATGAGTGTAAAAACTATAGAGGCATCATGCTCCTGTCCATTCCGGGGAAGATTTTAAGTCGTACAAAACTTGAAAGACTGAAGGAAGCCGTGGATGTAAAACTAAGAGAGGAGCAGGCAGGATTTCGTAAAAAGAGATCATGCACAGATCAGATTGCAACTTTGAGGATAATAGTGGAGCAGTCCACAGAGTGGAACTCTTCCCTGTACGTTAAATTTGTTGACTACGAGAACGCTTTTGACAGCCTAGATAGGGACTCAATGTGGAAGCTCATGCGCCACTACACTAAGATGCATGAGGGAATGAGCTGCAGTGTCTTATTGGGAGGGCTGCGGACAGACTCGTTTGAAGTGAAAACAGGAGTGAGACAGGGATGCCTGCTATCGCCTTTTCTCTTTTTATTAGCTGTGGATTGGATAATGAGACAGACAACATCGGTACAACACGGTGGCATACAGTGGACCCTTTTCATTCAGTTGGAAGACTTGGACTTTGCCGACGACTTGACACTTCTTTCTCACAGTCGAGCCCAGATGCAACAGAAGACAGATCTCCCCAGGACCTTCTCCCGTAGTGTTGGACTCCATATTCACACGGTTAAAACGAATGTTCTTCAAATGGATGCAGCCGACCTTCCTATCATACTGCAAGGGGCACCATTGGCGGGTGTTGAATCCTTCACCTACCTGGGAAGTGTCAACAACAAGGCAGGGGGAACAGACGAAGACATCAAGGTCAGAATCCAAAAGGCAAGAGCAGCATTCATCACCCTCAGGAATATATGGATGTCTAAGGAACTGGGATAGAACACCAAGCTGAGGATCTTCAAAACAAACGTGAAGACTGTTCTACTGTATGGTTCAGAGATATTGATGCTCACAGCATCAGCAGCAAGGAAACTGCAGAGCTTCATAAACGAATGCCTAAGAAGGATAGAGAAGCTAGTGGGGATCAAGTGGTACGATCGAGTCACAAATGCTCAACTGTGGGAAAGAACAAGTGAAAGGCCAGTAAAGGAAGACATACAGGTGAAGAAATGGAAATGGATTGGACACACCCCGAGACCTCCGACAAGCATCATCAGACAGGCTTTGACGTGGAATCCACAAGGAAAACGTAAGAAATGAAGACCAAAAATGACATGGAGGCGAGCGGTACAAGCGGAAATGGGAAAGGCGGCGACATCATGGAAACAGCTAGAAAAGGATGCATGGGACAGGCTTCGCTGGAGAGATGTTATTGATGGCCTATACTCCACTGGGAGTTTAAAAAGCAAGAGAGAGAGAGAGAGAGAGAGAGAGAGAGAGAGAGAGAGAGAGACAGACACAGAGAGAGAGACAGGGAGAGAGAGAGAGAGAGAGAGAGAGAGAGAGAGAGAGAGAGAGACAGGGAGAGAGAGAGAGAGTACCCTGGAGCAGGGTGAGAAAGGCAATGATGATGATGAACAAAAATAATAAATTGTACAAGATCATTATATACCAAAACAAGCTAGCTACTGTGTTCTATTTGAAAGAGAACTATCTACGGTACACCTTTTGAAGTAAACACTGGTGTTAGGTACTTTTAAAAATTGTGATCGATTTTGTAAGGAGACAGAGCAGACATTGAAACAGGCATTGGATGGGAAAATGGCACGTATTTAGGAGATTTAGATTTTGCGGATGACATCTGCCTATTAAACACCACAGTACATGAAATACAATCAGTTTAAATTTAAACAAACGAACCAGCAAAAGCTTTTGAAAAGGTTGGCCTTATAATAAATGTATCTAACATAAGTACTACGACTATCATCAGAAACTATGTCCAACACTATTTGTGGAGAACCCCTCGCAGAAATTAATAAATGCAATTGCCATAGAAGCATTATATCCAAAACTGCAGACTGCCTTGACGACGTCCACCAAAGACTTAAAAATGCCTTTTGGTGAAATTAAAAACTATATTTTATATTATAGTCCAAGATCACTTCATTGAAGACGAAATTAGAAATATATAATAGCAATATTTTGGCCGTATTGACGTACTCTAAGGTATCAAACTAAAAAAAAAAGATGACAGAACTTTGCTAGAGAGCAGGAAAGGAGGTGAAAGTAGACAATTTTAGAGAAGAAAATTTTTCAGTTGCTTCCTGGATTCAAACCGAGACCTTTGAATGAGAGGCAACACCTTAACCTCTAGGCCACGAGAGCCACTGATCCACTGGAGTGGTCACAGTGGTGTGGGGCTGGTTCATTATCTTGCAATTTATGTAGCCCCACCTCTGTAAATCTGAACTTGAACAATGTCAACATGACTTAATTTGGTCACTGTATTAGAAGAGCCTTACTTGAAATGGTGTAGTGATGGAAATTGTATTACTTGAGCGTGTAATTCCAATGCAGGACAAATGAAGTTGACTGCAAATAAATGTTTCTCTATAAACAAAGTGACACTAAGGCAGTGAAAAATTAGGTCCTCACCATCGCAATGATATCGAAATAATAAAACCAACAAAAAGGCCAAAGGTGCAGTCGTGTGTTTAATAAGAATCTTTTTGAAACAGTGGAGTGGCTTTCAGTCATCGTTAGCAAACACTCATTGTACTGTTTGTATTGACTGCTTCAAGAGCTCTAGTAGACACAGCCAGCACAGATAGACGTTGGTCATTGCATTGCAAGGTCTCACTCTATAACGAACGGGTGAGAAAGAACAGGTATGTATTGTGTAAGGTATGGAGTGTATTTTGTTCTGTGGAACTTACGAACTTGCCCTACATGGTCATGAAAAAGGCGATTTCTCGGGGAACAGAGGTATCTTTCTTGATTTACTTTTTACTGCACAGAGACGCTAACACTGACAGGATACTGTTTGATCATCTGCAAAGCTCTACAGTTGCAAAATATACTTCCAAAATTATAATACAAACGAACTGTTTGACTGTATTTTCAAATATACCATGAAGAACTGAATTAAGACATACACTCTGCCAACTTTTCTTTCTATTCAGGCTAATGAAGCAACTGATGCTGGTCATTTGTCACAGTTTGTGATCAATTTGAGGCATATTAAGGATGGAAAACCGGTAGAGCAGTTTCTAATGTTATTCAAATCCAAAGACAGAACTTGTCAGAGTTTGTTTCAACCCTAAAAGATGCTTTAGAACCATTCAGTGTCGAGAAGAAGCCTATCGCCAAACCTGTAATGGGGCAGCTGTAATGAGCGGGAGAGTTTCTGGTTTACAGAATCAGATGCGCCAATTTTCCCTAACGCTGTCTTTGTTCATTGCTATGCTTATCAGCTGAATCTTGTGTTAAAGCCCACTTGTTCTGGCATATATCAGACTCCTGGATATTTTTCGCCAACGCTGCACGCTTTTTAACATTTTTTGCCCACTCTACAAAACGCATTGACATTCTCATTCTCAGTTGCCTTTGTCACCGTAATATTCCATGGCCATCTGAAACAAGGTGGAATTTTAGTGTCGACTTAATTAGATTATTAGCATAGTCTTCACTTGGAAAGGAGAGATCCAGTTCTGTCTTCAAGAAATTCAGTCTGAGCACTGGGATGATAATACCACCTTCAAAGCGTGTGGTCCCTTGAATGTACCAAAAAACGATACATTTCTATTCTTTTTGCACTTTTTTTTTACAGTGTTCACGCATGCATAGGATGCTCCAATACAGAAGTATAACACCCATAGTAGCCCAACAAGCTCTAGACACATTTAAAGCAGCCATTGAGGAAATTGAAATAGTGTAAGTATTCCACCAACAAGTTAGATCAAATACCCCAACTAGCCTACTTACTATCTCACCATTGTGATAAGTCTCGGCGGTCGAGTGCTTGCTATCTTCATTTTTGACCTTCTATGTACCACAGCTTGCTGCACACTTCCCAGTTTGAATGTTGTAAACCTTGAAGAGTTGTTATATATATATATATATATATATATATATATATATATATATATATATATATATATATATATAATTATATAAGTCTCGACCGAAAACGTTGATGGGATTTGATGCGATCAGTATCAGGCCAGGAGACTGCAGTGTCACTGGCTAACAACAGACCTGGCAGTGATCCTCCATGTAAGTTCTGATGTAGTAATGTGAACGATTGTTCTAGTGTTGCAGCTTTATCATATTTATTGTCTGTTATTTTATCGGGATACTCTAGCGCATGCTAATTTTAATGCCAATTATATGAGGGGTTCTTATTTCAAGATCTCTGAACTCGACTTTGACAATAAGAATTTAAATGCATTGATTTGTATATATATATATATATATATATATATATATATATATATATATAAATATGTACTTGTATTTAGATTTCTGTTCTGGAGTCAAAACAGTCGCTCATGATCTCATCTATTCAGCTGTATTTTTGTCAGCATTTTGCAAAAACTAAGTAAGCATGATTTGGCCACTCGAGACTAGTCTTATCAATGTGCTTCTTGATTACATCACAAGTGAATAATTTATTACCTGTAATATCATCTTAAATCTTGTTCATTTATCTTGCTTTTGGTGAAAAAAAAATACATTATCATTATCTTGAATAGAAGTTGAGATATACGGGAGGTGGTTTGCCTGGTTTTAGAGGTAGAATTAGCGAGAAAATGTCCACAAAGTCAGTGACTTCCAAAGCGGTTTTCTTGGAAACTACGTAACTTTAAACCTAAAGATGATGTTCAGATGATGACAGATGCAATCCACACTACAGCGAGCCATGAACTGAACAGGGTTAAGAGGACATCATGCAATGGGTTGCTTTTGAATTGATAACACATACCCGAATCAGTTACATTTAAGTTGAAATGTTCCCAATGTTTATATCCTCTTTTTAATTTTTTTTTTAACAGAAAGGACTGGCTATATTCTCACCATAGCAATGCACTTCACAACCCTGGTTGCTGCGGTGTGTGCTACAGTCTGTGGAGCCTATTCACAGTCCATCGTGTTTGATGACACTCCTGGAATGGGGCGCCAGTTTGATGGAATAGGGGGTCTAAGCGCAGGTGTACGTATTTGTATAGTCATCAATGCTAGTCTGGTAGACCTAATGGTTTTTAAGAGGAGAGGAGAAGTTATTTATGTAGTCTATGTCTCAAATCTTCATCGCTATTATTATGTGTTTCTGTGGAAACACTGGGACAGCAATTTTTTGGGAAATTGTTGACTTAGACATGCTCTCTATTACCCTTTCCCTGAGTCTTTTGTGTGAACAATGTCAAAATCATTTGGTGCCTAATCTATTTTATTTGCTAGTTTTGTTTATTGGCTATTGACGCAATCACGAAAAGCTGAGATAATATGGTCATATCATTGCCTTTGAGATAAGACCAGCTAACCCACACAATGTTCCTTCTCTTGACAAATCGGTAGCAAATTATCAATTTCATATGCTCAGTCAAAGTCTTGTCTGAATTTTTATTAGAAATACTTCTAAAATATTACAAATAAAGCCAAACAGCCTGCTGGTTGGCAGGTTGCTGCGTGATGAAACCAAACAAGTTTTTTGCTTCTCTTGTAAAATTTGCTCCTCTGGGGTTAGCCATTCTTATCATAAGGGCAACGATTTATATATTATTCAGAAAAAAAGTAAAGTTCCTTTTTTGATAATATATATCTTTTAGAAATATGTGCATCTAAGCTTTATTATATTAGTAAAGTGTCACGCATGTTTTATTTTGTGAGAATAAGCAACTACTTAATGATCAAGGGATTTTACTAACACTTGTGTCTCTCTTTTTTTTCTACTTTTTAGGCTTCATCTAAGCTACTTGTCAACTATCCACAAGAACAACGTGACCAGATTCTTGATTATCTATTCAAGGTATTTTTACTAGTGTTACTTCCTGCAGCTGTTGCTGAAGCAAAGAGATAAATAATAGTCAAATAGCATCCCTGTACTGTTACACAAGAAAGTCTTGAAGAAAGTAAGTCTCTAAGCCTGTAGGTTTGATAAACCTATTGCGAACAGATTGCATTGTCCAACCTTGTTTGCTTTTTCTCGTATTATTGTAGCTTTTTCTCATTGGAAAAATATCACTTATATGAATGTATTATCCGTTTTAATTGTATAATGATTTGGGTGGTCCAGCATTATTTCTTCCTTTATATCAGTGTACTGTTCATACAGATGAATATGATAGTTATTGTGCCTACTCACCATGAAATTAGCTTTGTTTCTTCACCTCATTACTCTGATTCCTTTTCTTTTCTTTACTTTATGAATCCATCTGTTACTTTGTGCCTCTCCCAATAGAGTGCCAGACAGGCAGGATTCGAAACATGCCTTTAACAGGAGATCTTACACAATAACTAATAACTTGCAAAAGACACACTCATATATATATATTATATATATTATTATATGCCTTCTATGAGTTTCACCTTCTCAGGAGAATATATTGAGAGGTTAGTACTGTCCCAGAAACTCTGTTTTCAACACTGTATTTACATCTAAAAGTACATGATCTTGAAATCTACAGCCAAATTTTGGAGCTTCTCTTCACATTCTTAAAGTAGAAATTGGAGGAGATGTCCAGAGTACTGGTAAGCTCATCATAAATATCATCTTAGTTGTTTATCATTCGGAAAAAAATATGATTTAAAAAATCATTCATGTACATGAATTTGTGTTAGACTGGCATGTGTAAAATATGTGGTCTTACTTTCATGCTCCAAAAACTATTTCTTATGTAACTCACAAGTGCACCTTCAAACAATGTTAAATTCACATTTAGTGATCTTAATCTGCCCTCTGGATGTACTGTATATCTAATTCTGTTTTTAATCATGAACGCTTGTGTCCATGTTCTTCTGTCTCTGATATTTGTTTTACTGATGATTTTTTTTATTGACATGGGAAAAAAATGTTTATTTTTTTAAAACAAGGTTTAGCATCTCTCATCCTTTAGTTTGTTCAGTGATTGTTCATCTTCTATCTTCTCATAATTCAGATCAAAATCAGTACAGAGACCATTATCTTTCTGTTATGACAATGATTGTTTTGACACATTTATTTTATGTTGCATGGTCAGATGGCACCGAGGCATCCCATATGCACAACAGTTGGGAGGAAAATTACCAGAGAGGCTATGAATGGTGGCTCATGAAAGAAGCCAAAAAGGTTTGTATATTTGATAATTAAAACAAAGCTCTCAAAATTGTTTTGAGTTTGAGTTAATTTGAAATAAAAAAGTAGATGAATGTTTACTTTACAGAAGCTGCTTTGATGTATGGCTGCAAGAATAAACATATTAAAGTCTCTGTCATTGTCAGCTATGTGCAATTTGAGCTGCTAAGCTTCTATTCCTTGATCTCTGGATCATGACAAAAATGCCAAGTGTCGAAAACATTTACGTGGTTCATGGACAGGAACTGTTGTACCAAAGTTATATTTGTAGTACTTTTTAAATGTTTGCAAGTGTCTGAAAGTTTTGGTTTTTGAACATGTTTCATCAATGTTTCAGAGAAATCCCAACATTAAACTCTATGGCTTACCTTGGGGTTTTCCGGGCTGGATTGGACAAGGTACCCAATCCCCGTATGTCAACATCAGTATGACAGCCGACTACATTGTCAGGTGGATCAATGGTGCTAAAGTGTACCATAATTTAACCATTGATTACGTCGGGGTGAGTTTACTTTAATCACATTAGGTTTTGAGTACGCTGTATTGAATAACATACCTTGAGAACAAGTTAACGAGAGATACACCAGCTTCTAGCAGCATGAGGAAGTGGGTAATCTTAGTTTGATTATATATTTATTACAAAAAGGGAAATATGTGGTAGTGTAACATTTTACCGAAGTGATTCACTTATGTACAGACGCTCTATTTGTATTATATTGGTCACTAACTATTATGGAAACATAGATTTCTTGCAATAAATGATTGAAAAGACTGTCCGTAAATGGTGAAGTTTTGACTGCATATATTTGGGTTTTATGACTCTGGGTTTTTTTTTATGCCAGTGCTTGTTATCTGCACTGAAATGTTTTAGCATTTGTGGGCTTAATTGTATTATGTTTTGTTTTTTTCTTTTTCCTTCCAGATCTGGAACGAACGGACATATGATATCGGTTACATAAAGGTAAATGATTAAGTTTTTATCCTTTGATAATTTGTGTTCAATTGTCTGTTTCATCCAAATAAGCTGAAGTAAGTGATTTCTATCCTTTGATGTAGTTGTCTTATAATTGATAAAAATGTAATAATATTTTCACCATTTGTAGTTGGAACTCACGAAGCAGTGCTTGGTGTATTTATCTGTTGTAATACTTTCTACAGGCACTACGCGCGACCTTGGATTCACGAGGATTCCAAAACACACTTGTTATTGCTGCTGATGAAAAGTGGGAGATTGCAAGTGACATTCAGGCAGATCCTGCACTGGCCAAAATAGTACATGCTATTGGGTATGTAGAATGCAAATAGGCATTTCCCTTGTACTCTTTGAAAGAGGCATGAAAGTGAAAAGAACGTCAAAGGTGTCTTTCTGTTACTCATCGTTCACAGAATTTATAATTACTTAAAATCTTTTTGTGTTTTGTCAAACTATCTTTCCTACTCCATTTTGTTTTTACTATATAATATTTGTTTTATACCAGAGTGGCATTTATGATCCTCCATGCTACTTGTAAGTAATATAAGTGAGCTGCCTGTTAAAAGAATTAAACATTTTTCATTGCTAGCCATTTTGAATTCAAAGTCATCTCTGTCATTATGAAAATTCTGCGTGGTTTCTTGACAGGTGTCACTACCCAGGCACTCTTTCTGATCCGGATGCTGTAAACACAGGGAAACAATTGTGGGCCTCGGAAGATTATAGCTCTTTCAATGATGACGTTGGAGGAGGATGCTGGGCGCGGGTAACTGTTTTGTTCGTCATAGCTTAGATGTTTTCACGTGTTTTGTGTGTTGCTGTTTTCTTGGTGACGATAGAAAAGAGCATGATTCTTTAAATGGCAGGTACTGGCACTTGATTGTGGTTGGAGGTTTGGAGGAGGGTACTATATGCACTCACGTGTACTGAACAAGTGGACTCACATCTGAGCATTGATTGTTTCACATGTCTCATGCTTTCTTATGATCAATGCAAATGTCTAGCCCCCTCCGGAAAGAAGTAAATAAAAGCAGTATAAAGACATACTGAATGTCTTCAACCCAGCATAACAATGGCAAACAGGTTACATCAGACATTTTTTTGTATTTGTAAGTCGCACCTCATGTTTGTTACCAAATTGCGACGATCTCTAATCTTCTTTACCCTTGATTTCTGTTTCTTCCAACTAGACAGAATAATTTTTTGTTAAAGGATTTGTTATGCAGCTATGAAAGCTGACTTGTAATGTCCTTTAAGTTTTTTCCTTGTGCTGATAGAGCTGTTCAATCCTTTTCTTTTGAAACTTGAAAGTCAAGTTTCTATATGTATGCATAGTCAATGAAAGGGGAGGGGCTGATTTGTTTGTTGATAGCCTTACTATTTTATTGCAACTTATTTTATTCCCGTACTTGATAAACAGCTATTCACGTATTTATCTAAGTGATATGCATCATTACTTTTTGCTCTTCAGCTCAGTTGTAGGCTGTTCCTGTCATTGTCGTTAAGTCTTGGGTACAAATAGTTATATAGCATCAGTTTTTTGCTATTTCTCTCTACAAGTGACAGATAATAGAATGAGACTTTGAACCTGTGTCCTTACATTCCTATAGTCTGGGCAACACCAAAAGGACAACTTATCGACCTCATTACACAAAATGTAATATGCGGTTCCCATAGGGGGATCAGGTCGAGTCAGGTCAGTTTGCTAGTCAGATTGAGGGCGCAAAGTGATTACCATGGCACAAGTCGAGTGTGCCCAACTCATCGCCTCAAAAACAAAAGCGTGTGTTCTCAGGTGACGATTCGGCCCGACCCGACTCGACCGGATCCCATCTGCAATGGGCTCCCGGTATAAGTGGCGAGTTGCTCTGATTTTTTGCATGTGCCCCTAAAAATCTCGATTTTCGTGCCAATGCGTCAAACATAAAGATGTCTTTTTTATAATTATAATCATTAGTATTTAATTGCAGTCGGGGGGCGGGGGGTGTCTTTGATTAAAACAAGAAAGGTAGTTCAGCGTTAGTTGGTTTTTTTATTTTTTATTTATCTTATTTTCTTCTTTTGAATTGACTGTGTTTTGCAGCAAGACTGAGTAGTTGTCAGTCCAGTGGTTAGTATGGTGACAGTGTGTTTATTTAGATTGACTAATTGCAATATATATGCTATGTGGGAAATTTTTTGCATATCCTCACAGTCTTTTGCTGTCGCTTTTCTCATTAATCAGCGTGGTTAGATTAATTAATTTACAAACCCTAAAACTACTAAACTATTTCTACAAAGAAGGCGATCAAGGTCGTCTCTTTTATTCTATTTAAAAATTCAGAAAAAAAGACAAGACATGCATTAGAACTATCCAGGACTATGCTGCTCGGATGGATCCAAGAAGATGAAAATCCAGAAGAAAAATAACTAATACAAAGACGCATAACAATTCCAGTTATACTTCTTTCATATTCAGGTGGCTTGAAAATGTATGTGTAAAGGGGGGAGGCACCCTCTGCCTATGAACCTGCACTTGGGGATGGGCAGTGACATGCCCATTAGTGCTCTGCAAATTTCTGACTAACCCCTGCAACGACACCCTGTATTGTTATGGTTTTAGAATGGTACTGTGCGTGCTATAAAAAGTGTGCGGAGTTGAGTATAATTAGACATCAATTAATAATGATCATAGACAATATCTCTTTATATTTGTCGCATATGATCATAGACAATATCTCTTTATATTTGTCGCATATGCACAGGAATCAGGATTATTTAGGTCTTTTAAAATTCATAGGTGCATACAAAAAATTAGAGCAAATTGCAACTTAGGTTCTGTGTAATGAGGTCGATAAGTTGTCCATTTGGTGCTGCCCAGATTATAGTAGCTGCTTTTTAAAAAATTTATCAGTCATGCTCCTTCATGATAACTGGTTATATCATAAAGTGGCTGTCTTCTTGCACTACATATTTTGGAGTGAGATATACTGAATAAGCTGTTTGTCAATCATATTTTAAAAATATTTCTGAGTTTTGATTGACGCCTGTACTACTTAAATGTTGCTGTAAAAGAAAAGTAAGACAACGTTTTGCTTGATAAAATTCAATATCCATTGTCAGTCACCAGAGAAAGAAGAATAAAAAATGATATGATTCTTACCTTGCAAGCTTAAGAAGAATAAAGAATGATATGATTCTTACCTTGCAAGCTTAAGTACTTCTAGAAGATGTGAATCAATTCTTGGCATCTGTAATAGATGTCTTTAACATATATATATATATATATATATATATATATATATATATATATATATATATATATATATGTTTTCAACGTTGAGAAGCTGTTATTGATCCAGCAACCTTGAGAATAAATAAAATGGATGGAATGGCAAAAATTCACCCCTATCTGTCAAGGGGATGAATCTTGTGGGACGGATACTTTTTCTGTACCTTTTCATCCTGTTCAGTTACATGTATCTATTGTTTTTACTCTTTTACATTATAGACTTCCAAAATTGGTGGCTTTCTTTTTTCTGTAAACATTCTATTGATAGGTGTCACACCCACCCCCCTCTCCTTCCACAAGGACCAGCAAAATCAATAAATCCAGCAAAAATCTTTTGCTTTTCCCTGTGCCCTTTCATCTGCATGAAAACAGTATTGTGATCTCGATTTTCTTAAAGTCACCTTTATGATTTTGACAATTGTAAAGTAGAAGTCAAAGGTAGAATACTTCTTTAGAAAAAGGAAAGTATGTTTGTTTTTATCAGCTGTTTGCAGAACATGCTGAAAAGTCTGAAAGTGGTATTGATGATGGTTTTACAGATCTATTTACATCTGTGCCTTTCCTCTTATACCCTGTGCAGACCTGGATCATCTGTTTCATGTTTACTCTCTTCATTATCGATTTCCTCGTGCCCTCAGCATTTACCGTAGACTCAAGCTGCATTCTATTAGCGTTATATTATGTATTTAGTTGATTTCCTGATTTTATTTAATGACATCGTGATTTTTATTCCTCAGATTCTAAATCAGAATTATGTCAATGGCTTGATGACAGCGTAAGTAATTTCTTTTTCCTGGTACAGTGGAACTTGGATTCAACGAAGTCGTCGGGCCTGGCCTTAAATTTTGTTGAATCTAAGTGTTCGTTATAGAAAATACGAGGTTTTGTGTAGATAATTACAGACATTGAGCAAGTAGTGCATAATGTCGACTTTCTACATAAAAAATATGTTGGTTTCAAATGAGAGGCATTTTCGTTTCTTGATATTTAAACAAATGCGAGAAAATTCCAGAAAAATACAACGAACTATACCAAACATACACCGTGCAAAAGGGTCGATTAGTTCAAATGCATGCCTGTGTGATCTATCGTCTACAGCATATTGTTTTCCGAGCAAGTTATGTTGCTGTGTAGAGCGTAGCATATGGCAGCATGTAATCCCACAGTCCAGCGCACAAGACATCACATAGATCTATGTCAAGACTAACTTATCATTGTAATATTGATCAGCCAGGGAAAATAATAATGTAACGCGTTTGCATCTCTTCTGATGTTCCACGCCCTTACCACTTCTACTCCCTCACCCAGCTCACACACACATACACAGTCGCACGTCACATGTGTGCTTGTCTCTTGGCCGCCTGTCCGACCCCGACACATGCTAAGACATGTGTGCATGCTAACAACGTGTGTGTTGGTACGAAAGAAGGGCGCTGATTAGTCACATAAGGCAGTTCACCTTGCAAGAGACTTCGTTGAATCTGAGCTTGCTCATTGATGTGTTCTGTGAATCCAAGTTATTTTTATTGAGTTTTATTAATTAAAAAAAACACACCAGGGGAATCCAACTCTTTTCGTTGAATCCTAATTTTCGTTGAATCCGAGTTCGTTATATGTGTACTGGAAGCAACTGAAATTGTAATTTTATTCTGTTTCTTTGGAAGTCATGACTCTGTATATTTGTCTTGTACTCTTCCTTCAGGCTTGGTTTTTATATGTGATTTGACATGTCCAATATCAGAACAGTCAGAGCCATTTCATAAAATAATTCATCTGTGGACAGCACCATTTCATGGAGCTTGATAGCCAGCTACTACGACAACTTGCCGTTCTATGGGGATGGTTTGATGACAGCTGTTGAACCATGGTCAGGCAACTATGTCGTGGAGACACCCATCTGGGTTTCAGGTGAGAAACCATTGGACAGTATCTGAATGGTCTATAAGATTTTTTACATGAATTCAGGAGATATATATTGATATGGATACAGATACAATGATTATTGTTTCCTTTCATTTTTTATTGCTAATTTCTTGGCAGCTTTCCTTTTATTCTGATCAATTATAAAGAATCTTTAGATAGATAATCTATCTTGATGTAGATGTAAATATCAATGAAACTGTCCCAATGTCTATTTTTTAAAACATTAAATTGGACTTTGCATCCGGCTCATAAATGATTAGGTTCTCTTCTAGCGTTTTGTTCTGTGCTTTCAAGAAGTGTTTTTATTTTATTTACACGTGTACTCTGTGATATTTATGGATTTCTGTTTTGCTTTTCAGCCAAGCTACTGTTAATTACAAACAGGGAATCGATATGAATAGTCATTCTATAATGAAAAATATGGAGAGTTTTATGTGTACTTCCTTTTCATTTAGTGAGGAACTTAAATAATAACTATCTTTGTTTATAAATATCATTTTGCTGAAATATTCAATTGAACACAAAGTGTTTCTATTTGATTTACACCAGAATCTTTAGAGATGATTTTTTTTTCATTTTTGCAGCACATACAACCCAGTTTGCTTTTATTGGCTGGAACTATCTCAAGCATGACTCCGGAGTTGGGAAACTGCCAAAGGGAGGTTCTTACGTGGGTCTTGTCAATCCAACAGGGACAGAACTTACCATTGTCATTGAAACTATGGTAAATAACCTAGCTCATGTAAATTATATAGTTAGTTTCTTTATGCTGAGCTTAAGAGTGCTTATATGTGTAAGCTTTGTCTTTGTTCTTGAGGTTTAAGATTTCATAACAATAGGAATTTGTTTGCAAACATAAAAGTTATTATTTTGTCCTGGATGTCAATGAAAACAGCACTTGTCTTGGAAAATCTTAAACTTTCTCCTACACATGTGTAAGGTCATGGATTTGTGAACACTGAAACTACAGTCAAACCTGCCCTGACGGCCACCTCTATAGGACGGCCACCTGTACAAACGGCCACTTTCCATTTCCCCCCTTGCGTTTTTTCTCTATAATTTAACTGTGTAAAACGGGCACCTGTCCAACGCGGCCGCGGCCACCATATTTTAACACAAAACCCCTATTACACTAAGCAATAACACCTGTCTTAGACGCCACCTTAGTGACTCCGACCCATGTGTTTGTTTTAACATGGCACTCGGTCTTCCTCGTCTCATACATTTAGTTTTATTGTCACTCTTGCGCAAAATCAGCAACAAAATAAAAATAACAAACAAAATACAAACCAACAACAACAAAAACAAGAAATGCGGCTATTTTCGATTGAGACTTCAGAAGGGAATGGTTTGTTTTCTTCCTCTTGATCAGTCCTGCCTAAGATGGCCACCTGTCTTCTACGGCCACTTTTCTCCTCGACAATGGGTGGCCGTCTTACACAGGTTTGACTGTACTTTCCAGTAGAAGTATGAAGTATTACAAAGTAAAATGGAAAAATGACTCGAGACGTATTGTTCTAGTTCATTATTGTGTAATAGCAGCTTGGGTTTTTTTTCCCCCGAAAGTCTCAGAATCTGTTTCTGTGCTGTTTCAATTTATTCCTTTTTTTTTACAGAAAATGCATTTTCCTGTTAAATTTTTGTTCATTTTGCTATCTTATTTTTCACTTGATGACTTTAACTTTGCATTATGCCTTTTTTCGGGATGATTGTTCTGGGTGTTTTTGCGCAACAATTTCCACTTTGTGTCTTTGCTTTTTCTTGTGTGAAAATCGTCTTCACTTAATTCGTTTTTCAAATTTCCGGAAAACTGAATTCTTTAGCAACAATGTTAAAGGTAAAAATATTGTGATTTTTAAATAATTTATAATCGTTAAAATAGTCAAAATATCATTGTAATAATTTTAGTATTAATAATAATCAATAATCATCGTAGTAATAATAATATAGTGACAATAAATAATTTACTTATAAAAATGATGTTTATATGAGTCGTAGTAGCAATGATATTGGTAATGCTTAAACTATGTCTGTTTTATGGAGCACCGTGATAATTTTATGTTAATGAGGTTTTTTAAAACTCATTTTTATTAAAGAGTATGTCAAGGGCTATCTTACTGTTCAAGGTTTTGCTGCTTGTTTGTCTTTGACAGACCCATAATCATTCACTGTGTGTTCGACCACCACTGCCAGCCTACAACGTTGAACCCCAGGTTGTTACTGTTTCATTGGCAGGAAAATTCGTAAGTGTTTTTTAGAATAAGACATAGTATAAGTTGTGCTCACCTTGGAAAGTATGTTAGGGCAACCAACTATTGTTAAATTGTTTGCTTGGTATGTGAATAACAAACAGGGCATGGTGCCTCTTAATGTACTGATATATCGTCGTGATCATGATACGATCAGATCTACAAAACTTTCGATTTTGGTTTTTTTCACGAAATCTCTTCTACAAGACATGTTTCGACATATTAAGACATATTAAGCTAATTAAAAATGTGTATTCAAATAAGCAACCAAAAGTGGACTTATAAAATTCTATAACAATCAAATTTATAATTCTGCCGTCCTTTTAAAAAATCAGTTTTTATCCTTTTCCTGTAAAATTTACCTGATGTCACTTATTTGACATCACAACGGTGACAATATGTTGAATGAAGCAAGTACGTGCTTTTTGTGAAATAAGTATGTTATAAAACTTTTGTTAATTCAGTACAAGTTTCGTTTTGTTGTGGTACCTTCCTTAGTTTTAGCAGCAAAGTTCTGAGATTTGAAAAGTTCTTGATAAGCCCATATGCAGTACAGACATGTTTCATGCTTTTTTTTATATTCATTACGGTGGTACATTTCTTTTCAGTAATGCAATTATTCTAATTTCCCCCCACAGTCCAGCATCACCGAAATGAATGTTTGGTACAGCAAACTCAGATTTGATGGTGCCAAGGACACCTTGTTTGAGAAAAGGGACCCAATTAAAGTAAGCGTTTTGTTCTTTGGAATATATGAGTGTGGTGAATGACAGAAGATGTTAATGGAGCAGTCATTGTAGATTTGTTGGAATTCTTTTCAGTGAGAAAGGGACATTGTTGTTGGATATTGTTCCAAAGTGCATGCATATTCATGCACATGTTTTAGGTAGATCTACACGTTTTCTTGCCATGTTTCAAAATGTCATCATACTTCTTTTTTTTTTTTTCTTTTAAGGTCATATATGTTTATTTGAGAATGCTTGCCAATACCTTCATTATGAAACAGAGTTGTTCATGAGCCGATTCATCGGTACAGACTTTGATGTGTTTTTGTTAAGAAGACTGTACGCTTGTCTGACTGGTCAGGTCTACGTGTTTATGTCAAGCCAGGAGAGGAAACTGATCAATGCCAACATTATATCTATCAGAATAGCACGAAGTTCAGTAAAAAAAATAATTTTACCTTTGATGCTGTAGATATGCCTCTTTTTATCATGCCATTGGGCATTCATCATCTCCTCAATGCTTTGTATACCTTCCCTCACAATGGCAGGTAATAGAAGTGGAAGGTTGTTATGTTTAACATCATGCTCCTTCCTCAGAAGAAATAAAAATTAAAGTGTTTGAAGAGTCCCATTCACATAATTTTATTATTTAAGACTAAAGAAACCACTCCCAACCATCCTGTGCTCAAAATTTTTATGTAGAGTATTTCAGGTGAGCGACACTGAGTAGAGGGAGAGAACCGCGCTACTTAAACTTAAACCTTAAAAAAACCAACTTATTTATTGTCAAAATATCAGGTCAGACACAGTCGAACTGGCCCCAGTTTAGAAAAACTTCAATTGCCCCCAAACAAAGTCTACAAATCCTGAGGTGTGCCCCCTTCATGACTTTAATCATGGTAGTCATTTAGGAGTTGATCTGGCTTCAATATTAGTAGAAATTGACAAGACAGTTTGTCTCGGAGCTTTAGAAAAGTACGCTTATTATTTTTATTATTGCTCTGTATCCGACCTGCCTCATTACAAGACACCCAAATTTAACAAGACAAGTCTAACCTAACAATGGATACCTTGTATTTATCATCATTGTCATATTTTTTTCAGTTTGTCAATGGCAAGGCACAACTGAGCCTGGGCTTGGATGAGGTCATCACGCTCACGACTATGACCACTGGTCAGAAGGGTGCTTATCCTGAGCCTCCTCCTTCTCAGCCCTTCCCCCTCCCTTACACAGAGGACTTTGAAAGTAAGGATCATTTGCTCATTTTTCCTTGTGTCGCTGCTTCAACAAAAATGGATCGACTTTTTTATTGGGCTTTACTCAGCTCCCAGCTGTGGTTTGGTTGTTTTTGTGGTTGGCTGTTGTTTTTATCCAATTACTAACACTTGTCTGACAGGCAGTATATGGTTCCATCACTTCCTATCCAAATTCAGATCTTGGTCCACATTGACAACAGATTGAAGATGATAACTCTCTCTCTCTCTCTCTCTCTCTCTGTCTCTCTCTCTCTCCCCCTCTCTCTCTCTCTCTCTCTCTCTCTCTCTCTCTCTCTCTCTCTCTCTCTCTTTCTCTCTCTCTCTCTCTGACTCCTCAAATGAAACATAATTTCTTAGAGCATCAAAATTATTTTTATGCCTGTTTTACCTTACCATTTGAAATCTTTATATAGCATCATATTCTGGCATTATTAACCAAGAAAACCTGGCTAATGCTTTCATTACTCCAAAGTTGCAATGAAGCAGAATAGTCATCAAATTTGTGGGCATGTGCAAGCTAAATGTGTTTCATAACAGTTTGGTGAATTTTTACTAAAATTTAAGTACTTTTTGTCTTTTGAAATAATCTAAAATCTAGCAATGGCAGCCATGTAATGTACATAAGTAAACAAGTATATAACCAGATGTCAGAGAGATAAAAGATTATGCCTAGATAAGGATTTGATGATATATTTGAGAAAAGGTTTAAGCCTTGAGTTTGAGGTCAGATAGGCTTTTCTGGGCACTGTGTTGTGCAAACCATGTAGCATTTGATTTTTACGTACAATTAGTTCTAGCATGAAAACACAAATAACTACTCCCAACCCAAATTTTGGAGTCTTTTTGATTTGGTACAGAGTAAAACAAGGACTTACTAATGCTATTCCTTCTAATGCTTTCTCTACCTTATGAAAAGAAAGAAGAAACAAAAAAAAGTGCCAGAGATTTGCAGTTATTGATGACCCAGGAGAAATTACTGATTGCAAGGGACGAACAGTCTTTCTTTTTTTGTGTTGACTTTGCACAATATTATTTCATTTAAATATAACTTATTCTTTAGTATAAGAATGTAAAAAGAATTGGAAATTATCAAATACTATTGTCATCCATTTCCACATGGAAGGTTACAAACCACCACAGGAACCCCCCAATTTGGCTCAGTAGTTTGGTGTATATGAAGTGACTGAATTGCCTGGGCCACATAGTCATGTCAATAGCGAAAAAGTCATTTTCGAAAATAAGAATGAACTACTAATGCATAGAAACAGATGACTCTGGATGACTCATCAAATTCCAAAAGTTCTCAAAAAAGAACGAAATGGGTAAAAAGTGAGAAAAAAAAGAGCTCGCATAGAAGACCTGGTGTACAGTAAACCTAGTTATCTATACATAATCTGTGCATGCATACCTTTCTGACTGATTTGATACAGCTAATCAGGTTGGCAGCATATTCATAAAAATGTTTTAAAAGTGTGGATTCTTTTGCGTTCATCTGGAAACATCAAGAAAATGTGAGACTAATTAATTTGAGACGATAGAATTTCAGCTCTTGGAATTAAAGTTTGTTTCTTTTACTCCTTCCGAAATGTGAAACTTGACTGGAGGGCTAAATGATGATTTTTTCCCCTCCTGGAACAGGAAAATATACTTACATGCTTTAAATAAGCTTTTCTGAATTGTAAATGTTCATACTAAGTTGTATTCATGTTCACTCTTTGGACAAGTTAAACCTCTTTACAAGTTGGTTATTATAATGTTTCTCAGCTACTTGGAGACTAGTCATCTTTTAACAGATTGCAGCAGTAATCCTCATCTAGGTGAAAGGAGTAAAACTTGTCTAGAAATATATGTTTTTCTTTCTTGATGAAATCAAAAAAGGTATGAGGTAATACCTGCTGATGGGTGTTGGTTTTCAAAAGTTGTTTGTTTAGAATAAATCAATATGTTTTTCACGTCTCTTTCTGTTGATGTAATAGGGGACAATACTCTTCGCTGTCTTCCCATCATATCTGCAACACACTTTCAGCAATACCAAAGCTTCATGAATACAATCTTATTGATCATAGGCTTCTCACTGTATGAAGAACCCTTCAATCTTGCCCAACAAAGTGGAGCATATGAAATCCTTTCTACAAATAACAACAAGTTCGCCCGGCAAATGACAATAATGGAGCCAATTCTCTGGAGCAAATTCGGGGGAGTCTGTAAAACTGTCAATGTCATTGGCAGTACTGACTGGTAAGATGCTGCCAGGCTCAGGCCAGTGTTCTGTTCACCTTCCAACATATGTATGCTTGTGTGCGCCATGACCCAGGCTTGAAAAAAATTAGAAACAGATGCTAACATGTTGCTAATCAGCTTCAGTTTGTTTTTTAACTTCTGCTCATAGGGGTTTACCAATAGTAGCTTGAGACTTATTACATCAGTTTAGTTGAGAGAGAAAACCTTGAACATAGTCTTTGGATCGTTTGGGGCGTTTTTTATTCTTAAAATCTCATGGAATTTTTCAGGAAAATCTGACCATACTAATTTTGTTCGATTGAAAGTAATCCAAATTTGAATGACTACTTTGGTCTCTAAGAGTTTGGGTTTTTTTGTTTGTTTGTTTTTTCAATTATCTTTCTCTTTGATACATATGTACTTTAAAAACTGCCCTAATGTTGAAGCAATAGAAGGCCTACAGTAATACAATTGGACAGCATAAATGAATGATTTGCACTAAGTCTAATGAACAGAAAATTATAAACTGCTCACAGAAATGCATTTATAAATGTCTCACTCACTCTTTGAAAAAGGGAATCTAAAAAAACCGTTTGCTTGAGACCTGCCACTATCTAGATGACAGAAATAGTGAGGCAACAGTTTAGAACATGAGTTGTGTTTGCTTTGCCAAAGATCAGCCTTCCCTTTTTGCACATTCAAGTTTTTCCTTGTTTATTTCCAAGAAACACAAATGCCACCACAGCCATTGATTTCGATTTAAAAAGAGATGTTTTTTTAAAAAGAATCAAATGTGAGCACATTTTGATTAAATCATAGTGCCTCCAACAAAGATACACTTCTGCTGTTGACAAGTCAAATCTTCTGAAAGGAATGTCGAATTTCAAGTCTCTGTCTTCACCCAGTGGGACTGTTTTTACAGATTTCAATAGACCATTAGGTGGATTGTTATAGAGAGTTCCAAGAAATCATGTTCTTAAGTGTCTGTGACTGAAGAAGAATTTTCACTGTCGCTAACTCAACTATATCAAACCCCTCCCTTACCTTATTTAGGCCATATGTGGCCTAAGTAAGCACTCCCTATATCAAATGCATGACTCATGGAAACATTCGCTACACTTATTGTATGACTTCCTACAGGGATATTTGATATAAAATACTTGTTATTTTACCTCGCAGTTGGAGTTGGCATATATCTAATATTTTGCTTTATTTTTTTCCCTTCCTTCAATTTTACTTACTGTTCAGAATTACTTTTTTCTAATGTTAAATTTTCAGAGACCTGCATCTGCAGCGGATTTTGCTTAAATTGAACAACTAATAGAAAAAAATGTTTCAAGTAATATAATATATCTCTTTTTGTATCTCCTTAACTTAATTTGTTTAATAATGTATATATACCCTGTATTGTTGAAAATCAAGTGATTAAAAAGATGATTTGGGGGTTCTCGTGGTCGAGAGGTTACAGTGTTCGACTCTCATTCAATAGGTCCCGGGTTCGAATTCGGATAGAGACGTAACATTTTCTTCTCTAAAATTGTTCTCCTTTCACCTTCTTTCCTGCTGTCTAACAATATTTTGTTGTCTGCCTTTGTCTCAACGTCCTGCGCCCACCCCCTCACCTCCTTTGCCCCCTCCTCCAGGCTCCTAACTCTTTCTGCTGCCTTTCTACTGCTACTCCTTGGCTCCTTCTTACTGCTGTCTTTCAGCCACAACCCTGATCATATGGTAAATTATAAGATCTAACACCTACCTGGCCTTCTCGGATAAGGGCGAAAAATCTCAAAGGTAGCGTGTGCAAGTTGCGCATGTTAATGACGCTTGGTGGTCCAAAATCGATAAGAATAGGTCTCGCCGCCAACCGAACAAAATTTTAACATTTCCTACCAACTGAAAATGTTAATTGTGTCCCACGTGCTCATATGACCTTATGCAGTTGCGAGCACCAAAAAACACTTACCCAAAAAAAATAAAAAATTTCTGTTTACTTTTGTATCTTTTGTTTTTGTAGCACTGATATTATATTAGACTAGATGAACTATATTTCTATGACAGAGGATATATTCACCTGTCATTTGAGCTTACAATTTTGTTTTGAAGAAAGGTCTCGAAAAAAAAGGTATATTCTATTTTGGTGGTGTCAGACGATGTAAGTGCCTAATGATGTATATATCTTGAAGAATACGAGAAAAATAGCTCTAGTTCTTTATTATTTGCTCCATCTATTCTTGGCACTAGTACCTTTCAGATTCATTTTTTTCCTTAAGTCGATTTATTCCTATCACCAGGACTGACATCTATGTGGCAGTAGACTTCCAACTGCCTGTTATAAACGGGTCACTCGGTGCCTTTGTGGCTGCACGGGTGGACCGGGGAGGTGTTGAGGCCTTTGCAGCTCATGGAATCTTCTTGTTTGTCTTCCCGGATAGGTACATTGTGACTAACGACTTTGGTAAGATTGACAACTATCCACCCTTTTCTTATTAAGAGATTATTGTTGTTTATGGTCAGGTGTAAAAAGAAAAATCCTCTTTTGCATTATTCGACAATGCATGCCAACACTTGTTCTGGTTGTAAACCACATTGAGCATAGAGTAGAATGTGGGTATACGCTGTCTAAATACAACCATTATTATTATTATTGTTATCATCCTTTTTATAATTATTATTATCACGTATTAACAAAGCTATTAAGCCAAGTATTGCGTAGATACAAGATTCCTTTTGCACTCGTTTTGTTTAAATGGGCTTCATTTTTACTTGTGTTTGTTGAAGAAACATGTCTCCCATTTCTAACAAGATATGAACTTTGGATTTTTGATAGCAGTGGTAGGAAATGGGGGAGAGAGGAGGTGTTTTTGCCAAAGTTGTTGGTAAACTTTTTTTTATTTCACCTCTTTGATAACTTTATAGCTCATTTAAGATGTGAAATGTTTAACAACAAAAAGCCTTTTCTAATTTTTTTTAGCCCGTACAAAAACCCTCAAGAACGGGTCTCTGGTCTTCGAGACAGGAGAGTGGCACAGACTGGGTCTGCTGGTTCAGGTAAACCAATTTTTAGCTATACTGTGCGGGCTTCCAGTCAAAATCATAGTATTGGACCATTATAATTTTATGGGTATCTGAACAGAGAAGTTATCTGTGGAAGTTGAAATAGATGTCAAAATGGTTTGATATGACTGTAGGCCTATACATGCATGTACATTTTTATAAAGGGATGTGATATTTTAATATGAGGAGATGTCGAGCCAACAGACTGAGCATAAGAGGGTGCTAATGTATACTGCAACATAACAATTTATTCAACCTTAAAAATCATCTTGCCAGTTTGTTTCTTTCTTTTCCATGTGGCCAGGGGATAAGACAAAGTGCATCATTATATCCAAAATTATCCCATCTGGGTCAATTAAAAACAAACTTCATTTTATTTTTGTCTTTGAACTTGTTTTTCTCTCTGTGCTCAAACATTTGCTTGATTATTTCTCTCATCAGGATGGCAACGTTCAGGGAAGCTTTGATAAGAAAATTCTGTTCAACATGCCTGTCCCAGCTCTGCCCGTGAGTGGTTTTGCCGCTATCGGCACAGACACATTTGGACTGGCAGATTTCGATAACCTACAGCTGACTGGACCTTCCGAAGGGAGCAAGATAATGTCGAAGCATTTACACTCCAAGTCTTTGTACTTTGAGAAAGAACATCACTAATGGATTTCAGTAACCACATCCTGAGACCTACTTCCTATAGTGCACTTCCATACTACCAGCTATAACTTTGTTTTTACGGACATGCAGCTCAATCAGCTTATATAAATAAAGAGAGAGAGAGAGAGAGAGAGAGAGAGAGAGAGAGAGAGAGAGAGAGAGAGAGAGAGAGAGAGAGAGAGAGAGAGAGAGAGAGAGAAAGAAAGAAATATTTGGTTTTGTAACAAAATTCTTATTTTGCCCCCAAGCTCTAAACCTTTTACTCAACAACAGCGTTGAACTAGAAGCAGGCAGCATAGCTCAAGCTGCAACATTACTGACCCATTTACAACAAAAATACACTCAAATGAGAAATGCAGGGGAGAAAATGCATGATTCAGAGGACTTGGCGAATGGGAGCCAAAATAGAATTTAGGTATGAAAATGTTTCACAGGAAATTTCTTTTATTATTCTCAAAATATGCTTTTGAAAATACCTTTTTTGGAACCAATCTGTGCATTTTGAGATGGAAAGTAGACGCCGTAATCTCAAAACCAACCAGTGTCTTTCTTTACAGTACAGGGGGATAATCTCCCTCAGTCTCATTTTTATACCACAGTTGAACACATCATGAAACCTCTCTTTCAACCTTTCAACTATCAAATCCTGAAAAAGGGTAGTCTTCATCATGTGCGGTTAATCTTTCTGGGCAAAGAAAATACTCTCGCTTTAGATCCTGGGAGGTTTGAAATCCAGTCTCTCTCTCTCTTTGAGCGCTAGTCTTTGCATTATTGAACTTGTTTGGTTACGCCTCTGAAAGGACATGCTATTAAAAGAAATGGATTTTTTTTTTTAAACTTTTGTGATTTTTTCTCTAATTACAAATCCAAGGCCAAAATGAGGATTAGTAGATCTATGTGATGGCATTGGCATGGAACTTAGTGATTTTTTTCTTGCAAGAGTGCCATTATATAGTAGTAGTGGATACTGGTTTTGTATAATATTCTATTCCAGACTGTGATTCACTGAGTATTATAAATTATAACTAAAGCAGATGGATGTTGCTCCCTGCACCAATTCATTATCTCTTTCCTGATCTCTCACCCTATATGTGGACATTTATGAGGAGAGAGGTTCTCCTAATTCACTACTGTACTAGATGTTGTTGTTGTTAGCGATCCAGTAGCATCTGAGCGTTAACTCTTCTGCATGATACCATTCTGTAATACACACATGTAGCTGCATGTCTGTTCTAATTGTTGTCTTGAGGAGTAGAGGCAATTAGATGTGTGGGGTAGCTTGGGAAGAAAACATCGCCTTAAAGCAGTTAATTTTCTACAGGAGAACAGATGATGTTCCACTGTCTCTGAGGGGTAGTCACATAGTGGGCAGGCAGCAGAATTCACTACTACTAGTAGTATTAGAGGAATGTAACATTTTCATAGAGCTTCCTGTTGATAAAGTGGGAACATCCTTCAGTTTTCTTCAAATACTATGACCGTGTGAAACTTCGCCAAGTTAGTATACTGTCAAAATTATTTTTTAAATAAAAATTTACAAAACAGCTTTTTGTGCCTCTTTTTTGCCACAGAGTGAGTTTGAAAGAGAATGATTGCCAATTTTTTAAAATGTTAGTAATCAATTCTTTTTTTGCTGCCATTTCATACTTATAATTTTTTGTTGGTGGAATTGTACACTTATTCAATCCCACATTTATTCAACAATTGTACTCTTGGAATTACTTGAATCCAGAGCTAGAATCATACTATAGCAAGAGGCACATGTCCATAGCTGCTCATCTCTCCTTTCCAGCGTCCACCTCAGGGTCTTCCTGCTAATTGTCTCCATGAGGAACCGGTTTGAGACACACCTGACCACTCCTCGCAGCAAACTTTTTTTCCTGTACCCCGCACACACTTTTCTTTTATTGTGCTGGGTGTGTGGGAGTCTGTCTCCTCTTAATCATGGGGGCTCTCCTTGCATCTGGCGATCACCATTGGTGGGTCAAGCATGATTTGGCCATTGGGTGCTGCTTTGCCGGCAAGTTCATCAGCACTCTCATTTCCGTGCACCCCGGCATGACCAGGGCAGAACACCCATGTAATCTTTAGGAGGAAGCTATTTGCAATGGAAGCTCTCCAGTCGCTGTAGAGCCACCCACTCCTGATTTTTTCTAGGGTGCTCATAATTGTACTCTGCTAAATGCAATTCTAAGAAATGATTTGATGATCCGGGAAATATTTTTTACAACTTTTTCTTTGAAGCACTTTCGTATTGAATACCTTTTTAGTTATGTAAGCGTGCTTTTTTGTGTGGGAGTAATGTCTCTGCTTCGAAAGTACCGATAGTTTTTTAACAACTTATTGATATATGCCTGTAGAACCAGGTCACATCACAGGTATGTGTCAGCTTACAGCTGATGTGCTACCTGAAAGTGCATTGCAGACACATAACAGCTACATGTACTCAATCTTATATCAGAACAAAATACTTTTTGACATTTTTGGAGCATGATTCATGAGAAAGAATTTTAAAAATTTCAATTTTTAATTTCCCAGCATTTTTATTATTAGTTATTTGTACTGTTTACAGGTTCTGTCTTATTGTGCGGGTGTTTCCTGTCGTGGGTCCAGAGTACTTAGCATTGTTTTATGAAGATGAATTGCTCTGCTGTTTTCCTCTATGCACACTGTTATCAACATATCTGATGCAGAGATTCCTCTTGTTTTTCCTCATATAAAGTGTAATGCTACCTGTAGAAGATAAATGCAGGCAATACACAGTTTCTTGATTCTTGTTTGTGGAGTAAACATCATGAGAGGTCGAAATATGGAGGCCTGCTTGGTTCCCATACTGACGACAGTATTTTTTGCTCTTGCAATCGGACTTTTCTTTGGAGTAGATGAATACATGTGTATATGTGTACATTTACTTTATATTGTACATTACTTGGTGAAATGAAATTTCCATCTTTTGAAGATTGATTTTTGATGCAATGGTTCTGCAAGCGAGTGTGAGAGGCATGTTACATTCCATTTTAAATTGTATTGATAGTTCTAAAACAAAACACGGTAAAAATGTGAGTGCAATGCAACAAGGAGGAACTACTAAAAACAATGTTCTTTTCCGTTCTTCTTCAACATCACTGGACTTGCAGTGAAAGCCATTTTGCAGAGAGTAATGGCAGCCATATCAATGCATCTTTAATTACAATAAGATGCATACAAAGGCAAAGTCTGAAACATTCATACTAATATTATTGCATTAAACTCTAGACTGGTACTGGTTTCAGTTCACAATTTAAATTTTGTTTTCGTTTTTATTGACTTTATTTTTAATACTAGACATAATGCAAATTTCTTACAAAGATTTGGTCAGGATAATGTTTTGTATGAAGTGCTCAAGTCTGAAAGGAGCAAGTTTGTTTCGTGTGTTCAGAGATGATAAAAATTAATCAGTGCTTACGTAAGACTTTTTTTGTTCAAATTATTTCAAAGCACCAACCATGCCTTTGTGAAAATCTGATAAATGCATTTTGAAGTTAAAACTTTCGAGTTCTTAATTGACTGTCCAAGTTGAATCAAGATTCTGTGAAGATAACGCATTTCATACATGATCATTGCTAGTCTGGACTCTTTACCTTAAAGTAGCCAGAGTTGGTGTAGGACACATGGACCATCAAATGGTTTACCAAAAACAAACTGATATTAGTGATATTGCAGAAATTTGAGTCCCATAAAACATTTACTCAAACTAAGACATACTCCATAAATGAAAGTTTCACATTTTATTCTATGATGTGTAACACACATGAAAGGGCAGTCAACAGATCTCCATTTCATATTTCAATTATGAGATGTCACTGGTAAGCGTTTGCTTTGTGTTTAGGCAAGAACTTGAAAGAAGGAGGCACAGAACCAAGCTGCATTTCCCTGTAAAACAAAAACAAATGTCAGTGTGGTTTCCTTGATGGTTTACCATGTTGTTTTTGTTTTACTCGACAGTTAGCACTGGACATATAAGAGTCTCCAGGGCATTCGTAATAATATGAGGTCTTTTATTGAAGCATATGGAAGCAGCTCTTGAACTCCCCGCATAGGAATATCATATCTGCACACTAAAAAGTTTACACCCTACTTAAGATCATAAATGAAACAAACAAACAAGACATTCTATACTGCTACTAAACTGTATTGGTCATACAGGAGGAATAGCACACTTTTTGGCTTATGCTTATGTTTAACTGACACAATCACCGCTGCTGCCATTCGCTGTAAGCATAATAATATATTGTTGTATTATGCTTCATACACGGTCTTTGATTTAACAAATTATTGGTCTGTTGACGGTGACTGTGGGTCCGGAGATCGATTGATTAGACCTATCCGGGCTCAGAGGGTTCGCCCATAGTGTGGGCACAGGTGTTGGACTTCTTGTGGTAGAGGTAGGTCTGGATTTGTGTACGTTGCATTTTCGTTTGGCTTAGGGGATGCGCTTGGCTTCTGCTGCTTTGGCTCCCTTAGTTTGCAGCACCAGGCTGGACGAGCTACGGCCAGTGTTCCAGTGTTTCCCAGGAGTCGTTCGTGATTACTAGTTCTTTTAGTGAGACTTTGAGGCAGTTCTTGAAACGTTTTATTTTTCTGCCCTCTGACTGAGCGCTTGCCATGAAACAGCTCTCCACACATCAGCTGTTTAGGAAACCAGCTGTTCGCCATTCTGACCACGTGGCCAGCCCATCTGGAGGGGTGTGTAGATGCTGGGAATTCTGGCCCGCTCTTATCCCTATCCAAACGCTCTGGGGTCATTTTGTATCCCCAGTGTTGTATTCTCCACATTTTAGAATACTTCTTGTGAAAGATCTCTGTGAAACTTTCAGTTTTTCTCAAAAAAATCATTTTGACAGACTGCTATGTAAAGCGTACGGATCGGATTAACGAGTAAATTTCTTCTTTGGAAAGTGGTTGCACAGAGTTCCCACGTCGTTTGGATACGATAGCAAAACACGACGCACGGATAGAGTTAAACATCCTTGTCTGGGGCTTTGTCCTGTCATCGGATGCGGAAGATTTTACGGAAACAGCTCAGGTGGAGTCGATTGAGCTGCTTGGCTTGTCTGCTGTAGACAGTCCAGGTCTCGCTGGTGTAAAGAAGGATGATAAAAACCACTACCCG